TTTTTTGCAGCCTCGTCTCTGATAGCGGGTGTCAATTGGTTGTGATCGATAGAAAAGATGTGTGCATCTGTGTCATATAAAATTGGACCCAATTTCAACCATTTCGGCCAATTTGCAGGGAACTCCCAAATCAGCCCTAAAGATAATATTGCGCTTATAATTTAGTCCTGACAAATTTCGAGAAAGGACTTCAACGTGAAATCCTGTCTTGCTTGGGAAGTGCATGAGCTGAATGCATTAACTTCACACATCTCAGCTTAGCCTGATGCACTTTTTATGCACAGCTGTCTAAGCATTTGCGTCAGAAGTTCAATGATTCTGTTATAGCTTATAGCCAGCTTTGAACTACGCAGTAGGAGGGGAGGGAGAAGGGGAGAGGGAGAGAGAACTAAAGATTCTGCTGAGATGACGAGAAAGCACTTTAAAATCGGTGAAATTCGTGTCAGGCTTGATAGTAGAGTGTTTTATATGCGAAAAATTGTCGTTTCAGGTTGTGGAGGATGGATATGAATTCTTCGCCAAACGTCAACTAGTCACACTTTTCTCAGCACCTAATTACTGTGGCGAATTTGATAATGCCGGCTCGATGATGACTGTCGATGAAACGCTGATGTGTTCTTTCCAGGTATGTAAATTACCCATAGTCAATAGGTTGGCACATAAGTTTTGCAACTTATTTCGTAACTTTCCCTTTTGATTATGACGCGTTCATTTTTGGGCGTAATGTGGATTAGGTAATAGGCTACAAATGTACGCAAACGGTTTGATTTATGATAGCGAAGTGGAGGAAATTTACACATTTTTCGAAAGGTGGTCAAAGTCAAAATTTCAAAGGTTGGAAAACCAAAAACGGAGGGGTTTTCAGTCTGAATCAAACGTGTTGAGTCGAAACTAGATCATTAAAGAAAGTCCTTTATCAACGATCTGGGTACAGTTTCGGTTTGATGTGTTTGATTCAGACTGAGAACGGCTTAATTTTTGGTTATCCGATCTTGAAAGTTCGACTTTAACCACCTTTCGAAAAATGCTTAAGTTTTCTACGCTTTACTACCAAAAATCAAACTGTTGTGCGTATTTGTAGCCTATGATCTAGTCCACATTATGCTCAAAAATGAATGCGCCACAATCAGGGAAAACTTA